AGAGGAGTTTGAGCTGATGAGTCCAGGAAGGAATCTAAAGCCATTTGTAAGCAGCCCCAACCCAGGCAGATGAAATGGCTTGATATTTTTAACTGTTTAATTAACTGGGTGTTTTTGTCCTCTTTCAAAAGAAATAGTTTTGCTGCAGATGACATGGGAACCTTGGCTGTAGTGTGTTCTCTCCTTCCAGTGCTACATCACAGCTGTGGATGTGAGGTTTCCCTGACATCTCAGGCATCGAATTTGCCCTACAACCTGGAGAGCCTGATTAGAGTACTTGATCTTGCCTTTTATGTGTTTGCAAGAAAATTTCAGACTTTCCTTAACACATTGCACACAGCTCCATAATGATGCCTATAGCCAAGAAGTGCATAACTACTAGAAAATGAGTTTGGAGGGGTCAGTGGAAGACATCTCAGTTCAATAGTGGTTCTCCAGTAGCCTGGTCCCCTCTATGTCATCCTTTATGAGAAGCTGTCAAAGTGGTTACTATGAGGAGTGGAGTTTGGAATAAGAGGAGAAGCCTTAGTAAGAAAGACAAAGCTTGGCTCTGACTCTACAATTAAAGTATTTTCATCTGTCATTTTGGGTTAAACACATTTTGCACAAAGTTTATTTTTAAAAGCTTAAGATGTTGTGACACAAAACAGCAAATTCCTACATATGGGTGTGGTCATCACTACAAATAAATGATGACTGAAACCTCTATCTGTTAGCATTTTTAAAAGTACATACACTAAGCCAGCCAGTGGTGGTATACACTTTTAGTCCTAGCACTCTGGGAGGGAGAGACAGGTGAATTTCTGAGTTCAAGACTAACCTGGTCTACTGAGCTAATTCCAGGGTATCCAAGACCACACAGAGAAACTTTGTCTCAAAAAATAAAATGCATACACTGGTCCTATCTTATTCAGAGGGCTTAACCATCGAACCATTTCTTTTTGGGACAAAGGACTTTTTCCTTAAGCCCTCGAGCCTACTTTATCCTGTTATCCTTACATGATTTTGGGGTAAGAGCACCTGAAATCCTTTTCAGAGTGAGGGCGAGATGCTTGGAAGCAGAGTCCAAAGAACCACTTTTGTCATCCCATGCCTTCTACAGTCCATAGCCTCATCTGTTTTCCTTCTTTCAACTTAAGATGCTCATGCCTCTTTATGTGGTTAATTATGCTCAATTAAGCTGCTTTGTTTTTTCTTTCTCTGCCAGATTCTCGGAATTGTCCCAAGTTTGAGGGGGAAAAATTGATTAGTCCTATTTCTGCTGCTGCCCCTGAGCCCTGCACTTGAGTACAATGAGGTCACTTTGTTGAAGAATTAACTTTATATTACATTCTTGCAGGGTAGATGCATGTCCCTAAGGTACCACTACCCTGGCTGATGAAATAAATATACCTTCTTTATGATTCTCTCCCATTACCCTCTCTGTTGATTTTCTGAGAGTTTGTGTTTAGTCACATATTTACACAACTGGGCAAAAGTATACTACTTATTTTTCTTATGGTTTGTAATAACCTATGCAAGGTTATTAAAAGGGTATACAGACCCCTTTTAAGGCACAGTTTCTTATGTCATTACTTTATACAAGCAGGTCACATTCCATCTCAGCAACAATCTCATGCTTTTAACCTTTTTTTCTGATTATAAAAGTAATATATGCTTATTGTTTGGGGTTTGGGAGGGGGAGTGAAAACAGAAATTATGCCAATCACAAAGAAGAAGAGCATCTTAGGAACCAAGAGTTGTAGAAACAACTAATATTCATCAGTCTATGTCCAGACACTTTTGCTTATTATGTACATAGGCAAGTAGGTAGGTAGGTAGGTCAGTAAGTAGGTAGGTAGATTGATTCATTATTTTTTTATTCATTCATTCTAAAGTTACCACATTAGTGGTTGGAGACACTGCTCAGTGGCTAAGAGCACTTGATGCTGCTACAGAGAAAGCAGATTTGGTTCCCATCAACCGCACGGTGCCTCATAACCAACTATAACACAAGTACTAGGAGATCCAGTGCACTCTTCTGGACACACACACCTTCATGAAGGCACTCATACATAAAAAAGTGAATCTTGGAAAGTCACCATATTATACACATGCCCCTGTGGTCTTTTTAACCTAACAATAGAAATGTCAGTAAATGAGTGTTTGCCACATGACATTGATTTTGAGGCTGGGATCCTATTCAGTTCTATGTACTGCTCTCCCAACTTTCTGCTTCTCTCTACATAGAGCTCAGTTCAATTTCCCCTTCTAAGATATTTAATCTCTTTTCTGTGTGGATAGTTGTGCATGTTTTAATAACTAACAAAACTAACAATCCTTATTAGATGATCCCTCTCACATATGAATTTTTTTCTACTCAGAGAAGTCAAAAAGTTCCCTTGAGTTTGGGATAGCTAGCTTTGTCATGCATGGCATTAATGTTAGCATTGTATATAGCATTGGACCATTCTATTGTAATTTGCAACTGAGTGTAAGTCAAAATACTTGCAAATGCAAGCAGAGAGTCAATCCTAAAGGCACAAGAAATAAATGAAAAGACGTCACCATGCCTCACTATTTGAATTATCCCCTCTGTCATGGTTTATGTCCCTAGCATAGATGCTTATTTTTATTTGAGTAATGAGTTTAATATGTCTAACCCAATTACTCTTTGTGGCAACACAATGACTTCTTCTCAGTTCTTTTGCTATTAGTTCCATAAAGTATTTGAATTGATTCTTTTAATTGCTGATATTAAGTGCCAGTCATTCTGCAGTGAGTTGGCCTTATAGCCAGAAATATCACATCCTTCCCACTCCAGCATAAAAGCTTTTCAAGGAGCAGAATGGGATTCTAGACACACTGGGAGTTCATTATGCAAATGAGGAAATGGGTGGATCAACACCTCTTGTGCTATTGATGGCTTAGACTGGAAAGGTAAAAATTGTATGATGACAAATTATGTTTTGGGGGACTAAAGTCCCCCAAAACATAATTTACTTGTCTAAATTTACTTGTCTAAACATTAATTTACTTGTCTAAAGCTACTGTTTATGGTTAAACATTTTGCTGACAATTAGCCCTATGGGTGGGGCTAGATATGGTATATAACTTAAGCCCCAGTATTCACTCCTATCTCTCTGATGCATTTCTTGATTAAACACCATGATTCTAAGCGTAACAGCTTCTGTGCATAAAGAGCTCTATGACTTTTTCTCGACAAGTCAATCTGAATTCTTCTCAAGGGCTTAGAAAGAATTTATAAAATAAAAGGAACAATAAATATTGTCACAAATTTCCACAAGAGACATATTGAAAGTTTCCTGTTTGGGAGGGGAGGGAAGGGGAGGGGAGAGTTGCCTAAATCTCATAATTGCAAAAATGATCACATTATCCAAAATGAAAATGCAGCTGTTTTAATGACCTTAATAGGCACTGTAGCTTGGAAAGGGAAAAAAATCTTTTGAATAAAGTTACTTGAAGTTCATTCTGACTTAAAACATCCAAGTGAAGTAAAAGTACTTCCCCTGATTTATGTGTCTTTGGGAGAAATAGTTACTGGCTTTTTACTAACCTATGTAAAACAATGTACTTTTGTAAATGGATTTCTGGCCACTTTATTCAGCTCCCCCCACCATTTTTTTTCTTACATAAAAAGTAAGCACTGTCAATCAAGGAATTTTAAGGTTTATTTCCTCTTTAGCAATGATTGATAGCCTTTTAGATTTACAAGTTGACAAGTTAAAGGGTTCTATTGGTATAATTATGTTCTAAATTCACAGTCTTTCAATTTAAATGTCCTTTTAAAACCAAGAGATTATCATACCTGTATTTTGAAAAGTGGGCCAGTCAGTTTGGGTTGGTATACAAATTGCTTCCATTAGCCTTGGGACCTATTTGAATTTAATACAGTTTTTAAAAGTTAGTATGAATCTTACTTCTAAAATTTAGGTTAATGGAAATGCATTTTAAGTAAAGCATGTGGCAACTTGTTTTTTAATGTATAGATAAAATGTTAGGGCTAGAGAGACTGTCTTTTTATTCAGTAAGGGAAAAATACGCAGTGAAATACTTTAGTTAAGCTGAGAAAGAAAAGAAAAGGAATTGTACAAAAAAAATAACAAAATCCTACTGCCTACTTATTGCTCAGGATACTGAGACTATGTATAGAGGAGGATCTTGCCATCTTTCCTACTTTCTTAGACTAGATATGCTCAAGATGGTTTGTGTCCTAGGAAGGAATTCTGAAAATGATAGTGTATACTCTTGTTTCTATTTGGTCTAGTTTAAGAGAGCACATCCAATAGGACACAATGAGGTCCATTGTCTCCCAATGTTATTATTGCAGTTGGCTCTCTGAGTCTTTTAGTAAATCATTCTTAGAAACCCAGCTGGGCTAAGCTAGTATTCTACAGAGGATGGATTTTCTTTCTTTCTTTTTTTTCTCAAATAATATCAATACTGTGAGTGAGTCTGTCATTCAAGATGGGAAAGTTTTGGATAAAGGGCATGTTCAATATTTATCTCCTTGAAGATTCTTTCAAGGAGATACATACCCACCAACATCTTCACTGCACAGAAAGTGCTGAGATACTGGATCCATTGGGTCTCTATAGGAGACTTAACAGATACCTGTGTGGTCCCCTGTTATTTAGAATTTAACTTCAGATAAGTTCTTGACTTTTTACCCTGCTTTCTACAATAAGGCGAATCCTAAAACCCTATAGCAAATTCCATTTTACTTTTTAGTTAGGATCATGTGAAGAATGTAAGATTCAGCCCTAGGACCTGTGTTCTGAGACCTACTTGCTACTGGTGTTTCCTCAAGAGTCAGTCCCCTCCACAGTAGATGGTGGAAATGCCCACCATGGAGATAATCTAAGGGAGAAACTAAAGAGTATCGATTAAATGACAAGACTTATTAAATGACAAGACTTATGACAAGTTTGTAACTACCTGTGTTACAAACAATGCTGCATTTCCTAAAATGTTCAAACCCTGTGACTTCTTCCTTACAGCGCTCAATGAACCCACCATCGACTATGGTTTCCAGAGGTTACAGAAGGTCATTCCCCGGCATCCTGGTGACCCAGAGCGCTTGCCAAAGGTCAGAATTCCCCCTCTTTGGGACATGTTTTCTAGAAAATTGGACTTGAAAATGGCAAAATACCCTCACTGGTTAAGACAAAAAAATAGTTCCTAGATAACCAACGCATATGGGTACATTATGTGTCATTAGAAAAGTAGCAAGCACTTTGGGCTGGGCAATATCATGCTTATTTTAATATATATCATGTTACTTGGCAATTTTAATGACCTTTTATGTTGGCACTATTTTCACTTGTATTTTGGTAAAGAAAACTATGAAGCAAAGGTCAGACAATTTTCCCAAGATTGCAGAGCATAAACATTGCTGAGACTTACCTCTTCCCAGCCTGTCTCTAGAGTATTGGCTAATCACACATTATGTCCTATTGATTCTCAAGGAGAAAAGGAATGCCAGATTTTATCTGCTCAAAGATCTGAATTTACTATGGTAAGGGTAGAAAGAGTTCAAATGGATGTGTATTAGTAGATCTGGTAGAGAGAAAATAGACAAAGATATTGAGATTGGTCAAATAAGACAACATTTTTAAATAAGATATCTTTCTTATTAGAAAAATTAAACCCATGGGTATGAGAAATGAAATGAGAAAGCAGAACAATATTGTATTTCTGTCAATGGAGAAATTGGAGATCGATTGGAGTCACACACCTTGGTGTGACTACTGTATGTCTCCTATAGAGAGACCAGGGCTTTGTATGGGATGGAGAGTCAGACATGCTTGATCATGTCTGAAAATAGTAGATGGACCAGGCAAAAGCCCCAGCAAAGTTTTGTGTGGCCTCAGCAAGACAACAATTAAAGAGGTTCAGAGTACAGAGCCAGGCTTGCTGTCATGGTTAGTTGACAGCAAAACCCTGTTTTATTTATGACATGGTTTAATACCATCACCTTAAAACAATTGATGAGAGGTCCTGTCCTCATTACAGTCTATAGATATGTGTTGTGTAGATCTGTATCTCCTCATGAAAGGTTTAAAAACAAAAAAGCAAACAAACATAAAAACAAAGTCAGCATCCCTCTTAGCCCAGGACCTATTCAAGGGACAGGTACATGGTCAAATTCTCCCTGTATGGGACTGTACTTGTTGGTAGATCTTCCTGTCAGAGAGTATCCCATCTATCATACTGTTGTCTCCCAGGCTTATGCATGGCTTTGAGGAACACAGTGAGTGAGTATGATATCTACTAATGCCAAAGAGAGGGTGCCTTGAGACAGGCATGTGTGTCTTCTACTTTGACCTCAGGGGGAAGAGCACAGCTTCCAGTTTCTCAGAACAGCCCTACTTCTATTGAAGTGCTATTCATACTGATAGGCAGTTCTGAAAAAGCACTTCATCTGGGGAAGGAATAATATGACGTGTCATTGTGTTTACATCTCTGTCTTTAGGAGGGGCCCTGCCTTTTTCCCTCCATCCTGTTTTATTCTTTGTGAACTGTGAAACAGTCTATTGTAACAATGGACAGCTGTGTCTTTCAGGGCATAGATGTTCTGGGGAAATGCTGAATTTTACGTCCCTCTGTCCAGCAGAAATATAGGGAGTGTGCATTTCCTGCAAAATACTCTGATAAGTTATAAACAATGGCAGACATGATGTGTGCCCACGTTGAGAGCTGTGCCATACATAGCCTTACTGTGGTAGAACCAAGACACATGTACAATGACAACTTTTTCTGTCATTTCCATTTAAGCAGTGGCTTTACTTTCATCTAGATTTTAGGTCAGCATTTCATACCTGGGGTCTCTGGGGTTAAGAGCACAGCCTGGAAGTTCAGATTGGGCCAAGTAGAACCAAGTCCTCTGTCAAAAGTCTTCCTTCCCTTTGCTTGGCTCAGTTTCCCTTTGTGTCAAGTGGGAATAGTGAAACTTTTTGCTTTGTCAGGTTGTTACTCTGACCACTTAGCACCTGACAGAAGGTAACCCTGGTTATGTGCCAGTTGAATAAAAGCGGGAAGAGAACAGTTGAATGTATGCTTTATCACCTGTACCTCAGTTTCCTCATCCACAAAGGAGGCACACTAGAAACATGTAAAGACGAAAATAGTTAAATGGTTGGGGTCTAAAGAGGCCAGGCCATATTTTTGTTTTCTCTTTTTCTTTGTATAAGGATAGAGAAATCAGAATATAAGGGTGAGTTTTGTTTATCTACACTTAAAAACATTTTTACAGTTGCATGTTAAATTTTAAAATGTTGGAAAATTAGCCCAGGCACATGTCACTTTGTCCCTGGGGGCTTTTGGGTAAACCACTCAACCCTTTCTTCCTGGATTTGGGAGGAGCAATCAAGGACACAATGGACATGTGTGTGTTAAGGAAACATTGCAGCTTGCTTCCAACCACTGCAACTGTGTAAAGACTGTGGCCAGAGGAGCCCACCCCATGAAGCTCTCCTTGTGACTCAGAGCAGAGTGGCTGTCCTCTTGGCTCTGCATGTTAAGGTGGAGCAAGAGTTCAAGGGCAGGGTCAGGAAATGGCGGATGGAGCCAGCACAAGGTATTCCTGTGGATTTGAGAGAGATTTATAACCCTGCTATCCATTGTTAGGGCCATAGAAAGGGGCTCCGCCTTTCTCAGACTCATGGTCAGTGTTTGTCAAACCAGGGTGTTTCAGTGAACTGTGGACCACACACCTTAAAAAACAAACTCCACTTTATTAAACCCATGTGTTTGTGAATAGACAAAGCTAGATTCATACAACCACCCACATATTCTGTCAAATGAAACCCGCTCCAAAGACCAGGCAGAAAGCTTTCCATAATAATATGCCTTTGTATATAGCCTTGCACTTTTTCAAAGAACTTGGACTTGCTTTGTTTTACTGATCCCCTCTAGAGAAAGAAGTTGGAAAAATAGACATTTTTCTCTTTATCTTCCCCATTTTTCCAAACAGGGAAAGAGGAGCAAGAAGACTCTTGGTAAATTATTTAATCTCTGAGAGACACTCTAATTACACTAACCCTCCATATTTAGGAGTTTCATTTCTTTCATGTGCACAAAGAGATGAGCAAGCTGAGGTCTTTAAAGCATAGCCTTCTATCCTGTCTCACTGAGGAACAAACTTTATTCTCTGGGTCCTGCAGGAGAAATGTGGCTTTGGGGGTCCAGATTGACTTCTTGTAAAGAAGTGAGAGGGATGAGGATGGTGGCCAATCCGAAGCTGAGATGCTAATTGCTTTGCTGTGATGCAGAAACTGAGCAAGGAGCTCTCCCAGCTTTGAAGGCCAAAGGCAGTGTCTCCTCCATTCCTTTGTAGTTTGCTACTAGTCTTCTTAAGCAGCCTATGAACTTCAGCCCACAGGCAGTGCAAGACCTAGCCGGCATTCCACACACTGGCTGCAAATTTGGGGAAGCCAGGATTGTGTTTGTTTCACGCCTATTGCATGTCTAGCACTGCTTGATAGAGTCTGCTGTACAGCAGAGCGGCCAAGTGAGCCAGTGCGCAAGCCAGACACACAGGGAGTCTGGAAAGCAGACCAAGGAGTTGGTGCATGCAAGGCCTTCATGTCTGCAGCCTCAGGTTCCTTCTCCGTGAAGCAGCTGTTGCACAGTGCTCCTAGGAACTAAGGAAGTGAAGCATACAAAGAGAAGTTGGGGAGAGGCCAGCAAGTGAGGACACTGACCTCTGTAGGACAGGCATCTCACATTCCACAGAAGAGGAATTTATGAGGAGGTCTGTCTGCTGACTTGTTATAACACCAGAACCAGGAAGTAAGAAAACTCAAACTTGAACTCGGGTCCTCTGAGTTCAAAATCCTCCCTGTATCTACTACTATGTTAAATTTCCACTGTTCTTCAGATTTGGTCAGTCAAATACTTCTGTCTAAAGGCAATTTCTCTCTCCCTCCTCTTCCTCAGAAATATTTTCTGCCCAGGCCCCTCAGATACTTAGTAGCTTTTCCTCCTTCCTCTATCAAGAGGGGCTGATTTGGAAATCTCTAGCAAGCCAACACAGTTTGATGATGAGATCCAGCTCCCTTTTAGAGAAAATCAAGCAGTTTGGGAAAAGCAACAAAGGCCACATTTGTGTATTTTGCTTTATGGAGCTGAAAATATCTGGTAAATTGATCCAGTGGGAGTCATAAATACACATTACTTTATCTTGTTCTTCGTGTCCTATACCCCAGAGCCTCGATAGAACAACACCACTTAATAGACTTAAGAAAGAGTAATTACACTCATTGGTTGTGTGATTTTTCAGCCCTCCCAGCCCTGCCTGACCTTCTAATTTAGCTCACCGTGTCTAACTAATGCATTTATATTCATCTTTTATGAAGCACAGATAGTGCAGGATTGGCTATACAGTCTTTTGCTAGCTGTCTGCCCAGGTTCTTGATCTGGTTGGTAGTGAGGGGAGGAGCAGCCATCCATCTCCATACGTTTGCATGGATAGACAGTCATAGACATGGCTGCGAGCATTTTTCATCCCTTATGAAACATAATAAAAAGTATTTATTACATTTTTACTTTAAAGCTTTTATACATTCTAGCATTATTTACAGCTAAACATGCAGGCAAAAGATGCGAGTGTTTTTAAAATCATTACTGCTAATGTCTCAGCTTGTCAGAAGTGCTTAAATTCTCCTGCACTTTGTCTAAAAACTTGGTACTGTTGCCTTTTAAGAACAACACATTTAAAGGATCTTGCAAGTCAGATCTGCAAACACTGCTGACAGTGTGTGATGGATGATATTGCAAAATTTGCAAGATGTTTGTCATTTCACACAGCCGACATATTAAGGAATGGATTAAGAAACTCAAAACTCCTATGGGAAACAGTCATCCCCCTCAAACCCCACACACACCTCGAACCCCCAAGAGCACACCAGCATCTCTCACTCGGCTGTCTCTCCCAACTTCTCACTCAGCCATTGGATCCCAATTGTTCTCAGAGCATTTTCTCTCACCATATGGTCTCCTCATTACCATACACTAAGAGTCCATATGGGAAACTTGTGAAATGAACTGTATTCATTTTAACTGCCAGATGAGCAGCCTTGTGCTTTG